TTCCGTCTGTGTACAGAAAGGTAGTGACTCCACTAATGAACAAAGGGGCTCGGTGCTGATCAACCATACCTTTGAGATGCGCCATGCACTTAAGATCCACCCAAAATACGTTTGAATAGGTATTAGGTCCAGACAAAGCTGTTTGGTACCAGCCAATCCACGAAGCAGTGTTTTTATCCTCCCAAACAAATCCTACACGAAGAGGTCGACCCCAGAAATATGACCAATTGCAAAATTTTCTAAACAAACATTAACCTGACCTCAACCTCTTCAAATATACGATATCCTCGAAATCTATAGATATTCACAATTAGTACAACAACCACAAAAGTAGTTATCGATAGAACAATCAACGATGGAATTGCGATCACCCAGTACTTAGCTGGGACGTAGGTTATACCTGGAAATCCGTCTTATGGCAATGTTAGTTTCTCTGGTGAAAGTCAGTAGACTGTAAATTTACCTAGACGATTCAAAATCGGTGTAGGAACGATAGCCCACAGTAAATATAAGATCAACAAGCAGTAAGACGATATATATAGCGCGAAACCATAAATTCCTGAAGTGGGTAAAAGTTAACGAATTGCGGACCCTGTGCGCCACCACTATGTAGCTCATTTTTTGGCAGTAAAAACAAGCTAAAAAAAGTTTGAGGGTGAACCTCTAGCCCTTTTTCAATACCTTTTCGAAACTGCGCCACTCATTTCACTTCCATTGAGGTTTTAGTGGCTGTTCGAATGCGATATGACCTCAGGGCATGTCGGGCGTTGGGAATGCCTAGCGAGGGGGGCATATTCTGTCGGTGAAGGTAGGTGGTATGAGGGACGGACTTGTTTTTGAGCAAAATATTTCTGCTTGTTGACTTTTCTTGGTTGCTTACCGTTGAAAAGGGGTAGAAAGTTGGCGAGAAGAATTCAGGAAAATGGTAGGCAGGATGGAGCAATCACAGGGACGCGAGGGAGTCGCACCAGAAGAGGAAGTGTCTGGGGGTATTTTGCAAAATTTTTTCTCAACGGCAGGGCATGCCCTCTATGGCCCATACATACTATGACTTGCGACTGCCTCCCGACGTAGATGCCATAATTTGACCTCCCAGACAAATCTGATACCAGGTTGCTGACATGATCCCTGCAAAGGATAGGGCGTGCGACGGAGGTGTGGCTTGTCGCGCAGCCAGGGCAGATTTCCCAAAAATTGTAGCGGACTCAGGACTGCATCGTTGGTGGAAAAACACCTGCCGATACAGTCCATGCCGCGTCACACGCCCTCTCTTCGCACGGATCGACTGTACTACCCCCGATGGGTAGAGGGCCTGGCGGAAGTCGATGCAGGATTTGTGCCCGAGACCGTGCGCTCGGTAAGCATGCTTGCCGCGCCATCTGTGACGTTGATACCCTATCTTTTACCCCATTTTTTTCAGAAGAAAAAAGATGAAAAATAAAAAGGCATGCAGAAGAATTAAAAAACGAACCACGAGCCGGAAGTGGATTTGGTGTGTGGATGTCCTCAACACTGTCACGCGTTGGCATTAGCCAACCAATCCAACATCAATTTGTCCTGCAGCCTGTAATCATGAAGGAGGGACGATATTCAAAGATACCAAAAACTAATCGCGTTTTGGGAAATATCCAGAAAGAAGTACGCGTGATGCACGGAGTGAACCAGCAGCTAAAGAAAAAAAAACAAACTCATCGCATGAATTTATTCGAAATAGAATTTTCAAGGAGATATATACATACATAAATAGATCTGTCTATGCGGTTACAATAAGTAAGCGAAATCGCCGAACCCATCGCTAATAAGACACCCATTCTTGAGGAAAATCATTTCCATTCGTCATCTCCACTGTTGTTTCCATCACTTCGTTGTGCTTGACCTGTTCCTCTTTCCTTATCAAATAGATCACCTCGTCCACGTGAGGTGCCCATTCCAGCTATGGCTGAAAAGCTCACTCATTCCAGGCGAAAATATACAAATGTGATCTCTGAAAAAGATAGGCTGTGCGGGATGGCGTAGACGGGAGACGCAGTCGGGGCGACCATTTCCACCAATGATGCCATCCTGAGTCCGCAACAATCGGCGGGAAGGACTGCTAAGGATCTGCTCCAGCACACGCTCTTTGCACGCCCTATCATTTGTAGAGATCATGAGTATAGGACAGATTTTAGGAAAAACGATATTTAGAACTTTGGGAGGAGCCTACCTTTTCTCCTAGCCTCTAGAGCCTTTGCTAATGAAGCCATAAGATCGCCACCAGCGGACGATTTATTCTCCCCCAAAGCGGATGAGCTAAGTGATTCGCTCTCCTTGGCAGCACGCCGTGATGAATTTACTTTTTTCAGTTTCGCTTTTCCTGCACCTCCAGCAGCACGGATAGCGGCCATCAGATCCGATCTGAATTTGTGAAGTATCCTCAGAGTGCGTACATACGTCGCGAGAGCGTTTTAGGTGTTTTGAGCGACTAAGAAAGTACACTGTACACTAAGTATAGGCACGCTTAAAACGACGGCGACGCTCAAAACGCCTGATCGGTATCTGTACCTTCCTAGTCAGTCAAAACGCTCCAAACGCTGGCGTACGCTCGAAATACTGACGCTAAGTATGAATGCACTTTTGGGTAGGATAGCATCGCGAGGTAGCGCGATTGCAAAGGAATACCCAGCCATCAGATCAGATGAACATTCTGTTGCCTCACCTGTCATTACTGAGCGGAGCAGATGGCAAGCCCGGTGGCGAGGGTGAAGCCGTGTTCACCACGAGACTAGCCGGTGGAGGAGGTGGTGGAGGTGGAGGTACTGCCGGAGGAGGTGAAGGGATCGTGGCTGCTTTCACCTCACCAATTGCAGGCAATCCATCTGTGGCAGCTTCCTTTTCTGCGGCAGAGAGCGTCAACTGTGGCGAGTCGTTACTTGAATGGCGCATTTCAGTGTTTGCTGCGATAACCACTAGAAATAGAAAATTAACATTTTCATAAGATAAAAATGCTTGAAACACTTGCTCTTCTCCACGCTTTCGCCACTGGATTCCGTGTCACGCTCACTCTCGGGAGCTGCCTGCACCTCTTCATTGAGAACTGGAATGTCAGGGAACATGGGTGGCACAATTCCATAGTCCAGGAGTGTCAGATCTTCAGCAATACCTTGAAATGAACGACTGCACGATTATTGAAACTCACTTTAAAAAAATGATAGCGACACTAGATATATAGGCCAAGTTTACTTTCTCTCTAAAGTGGATGAGAAGGGACGATGTCAAACATGTTCATTAGAGGTACATTCCGCTATAATCGGATGGCGGAGAAACGAGCAGGAACTGGTAAGCCGGTCCTTTCCTCATTAGTGCGCCCCTCCTCTTAACACGGTAAAGACCGGGAAAGCACCAATGAGGAAGACAGCAGCCGGGTGTCCCTGCCCATTGATTATCTCGGAATGTACCT